AGGAGGAGGAGGAGGAGGAGGAGGAAGGCGTCCATGAAGCCGGCCCGCGCATGGAGGAGGCCATGAGCGGCGACCGCACCGAGAGCGACTGGCAGGGGCTGGTGAGCGAGGTGAGGCCGCGGCGCCGGCCGGGCGGGGTGGGCCTCCGAGCAGCCTCCGGCCCAGGCCCGCGCCCCGCGAGGCCGAGCCGGGCCAGGACGCGCGGGGCGAGCGCACACGGTGGCCCCGGCGCGCGGCCCCGAGCGACCTGCCAGGTGCGCAGTTCCTCCAGGACTTTGGGGTCTACGCGGACGCCACTGCTTTCCGCGCCATCGGGTGCCAGCCTTTGGGGAGGGGCCTCCCCCCAGGCAGGGTTTGGCCGTGGACTGGAGAGAGCAGCCCTGGGATGCGGGAGAAGCARCCAAGCCCCACCTGCCTGCCTGGTCACCACTGTTTTGGAGGCAAGCGATTGGACGCCTGGTGCAAGGGTGGTCCCAGGGGGAGATCTGGGTCCTGGGGTCACACCTGGGCCAGGTGGGATTCCTTGCAGCCATGGTTTGGGTAAGGGAGTTCCAGGTCCCAGCTGCTGTTCATTCATCACGTTTTTCGATTCAACCAACACATGTTTCTGTGGCCTACTATGTGCAAGCTGGTGGAGCCATTTACCAAAAAAGTGAGACCGGTGCAGAAGTGATTGGTTTGTGCAAACAGAACATCAGGCCTCCTAAACGATTTTGTCATAAACATACCTCTGGGACCTGCTTTCAGGTCGTGCTGTTTCCTCTTCAGTCTACCCTGAGGACTTACTGGCTTCTCCAGGTAAGAGGGGTGCTSATGTCTCCCTCTCCTGGGTAAGCTGCCAGGTTTCACCCTTTGTGCTGGCAGTTCTGGGTGTCACCTAGCCACCTAATGTCCAGTGTGTGCAGAGCAATTCTTTCYTGAAGAGGAATGAGATATTATAGCTTCTGCCCTGGTTTAGTTTATTTAGTATCAGTCTAAAAGTCAGAGCTCTCCTAACCCATGGTATTATGCAGTATTGCAACCCATCTCTAGCTCCTTCAACTGACAAAGGACAAATCCTCTGGGGAGCTTATCTCTGGGCCCACTTACAACCTAGTTAGGGAGGCTCTAGGTGATCTCCATAGAAGTCTAGCAGGTAGGCACCAATATGCAGCAGAATATTCACTACTCCAACAAACGCCTATCAAATAAATGCTTATTAGGAGTCGATTACATTGCAAGATACTTAGAAGTCAGTGGACAGCAAGACAGATAACCSTCCTGCCCTTGAAGAACTCCTGGGGCTCAGTGATGTAGTGAGGGAGGAATGTCACACCACAAACAATAAGAACATACTAAAGCATGAGATGCAGTCAAGTGCTAAATTGTGGGAGATGTCCCTTGAGCATGCCTCTCAGTGGTGAGCTTACTACCACTTTGCACTGACCGTGTTGTCCCGTGTGCGCAGTCCCCTCACTGGGCCCTGTGTTTTAGATGGCTTCTTATTTCTAGTGCCATCACACCCAACTCCATACACAGCAGGTGATCAATAAATGCTTGTCGAATAAGTCAGTGGATCCTAAATGGGTCTCTTGGTCTCCCAGCTGAGTTTCTCTAGAGGAACACCTTCTTGCCTTCCACAGACAGTCATTAAAGACCTCGCATATGGTGAGCACCCAACCAGGTGCCATGTGATAGGAGAAAATGAATCCAACCTGTTTCCCTCCTTAGTCGTAACCGATGGCTATTTCTTGAAGGCATCCTTCATGGTAAGCATTGTATAGGAAGGAGCTCAGCATTCCCTAGTAATCTGAGCTTCCGTCTCACAATGAGGCAGGCGTGAGTTATCTCTTACCCAGGTTAAGAGAACCTTAGCTCAGGCAGGTTGGGACTTGCTTAAAGTCTCACAGCTGGTAAGTGGAAGAGGCAGGATTGGAACCCAGGTCTGTCTGACTCCAGAACCTGCTTGGAATCGCTGGACCCTGCTCTGTATTTTAGTCATTGGTACATCTGTCTATATCTCCCATAAGGTGGCAGGTTCCCTAAGGTAGGGGACCAAGTCTTATTCATCTTTGAATCCTCAGCATCTGGATCAGTTTTCTTTGAATACCGTGTTCAGATCACCCACCTCAGCATCATGTTTAGTGCCTGGGAAAAATGCAAGGTTCCATAGACATGTGCAAGTCCTWACTCCCACTATCTGTGCAGGTGACTTTATTTGGAAACAGGGTCTTTGCAAATACAATCTTGTTAACAATCTTACAATGAGATCATCTTGGATTTAGCTGGGCCCTAAATATTACAGGCTGAGTAAAGAGGGAGGTGTGAGACACTGAGACACAGGGAGAAGCCTATGGGAAGAGAGACTCAGAGGAGAACCTGTGTGGGCAGAGACAGACTGGAATGCAGCATCGACAGGCTCAGGAATCCACTGCACATTCACCAGAGGCCAGAAGAGGCATGAGCAGACTCCCAGAGAGCCTCCAGAGAAGCCAGCCCTGCTGATACYGATTTTGGACTTCTGGACTCCAGAACTATGGGAGAATAAACTTGTGTTGTTTTAAGCCCCCAGTCTGCAGTCATTGTTGACAGCAGTYACAGGAAATGAAGTCATACTGTTAGAAAGTGCCTGGGATAACTCTAGTCTGTCTGTCTACAAGCTCAACTGCTCAGGAGAACGCCCTGCCCATCACTGGGGCCAGGTCTGTGGGTGTGGCCTGGGTCTGGTACTCAGGCAAGTAGGAGTCAAGGAAGAGTGTGGCCAGTGGCTGGTGGTGTTACAAAATGATCTGGGGACCCAGAGGAAGAATTGGAGAAAACATGGAGGCACCTATGTCCTGAGCCAAATGGACTTTTGGGCCAGCTCAAATCTATTTTTGCAGAAATCCCTATTTCTACCTCCTGCCTGGAACCTCACTCCCTCATCCTTCCTGCCCCATACTCTCTTTCAATCAGTTTGCTTCCACAGCTCGCCTCTAGGAAGCAGTTTTCATTTAAAATGATCCTACAGGGATCAGCTTTATTTTCACATTTTTCGTATAACAAGCTGAAATTACAGCCTTCTCYCAGGCCCCGAAGTAAACTCGGCCATGCATGTGGACGAGGCCCGGCTGGTGTTCTCTTCTGGAAATTAAATGTCTAGGGAGGGGCAGATGCTCTTCTCACCACCTGAGGTGAGCTTTCCAAATTGGAGAGATCTCAAATGCAGCTATGCAATCAATAACTTCATATTTCCACGATAAAAATCCTAGTCACCTGTAAGCCTCCCACCCTGTGATGGACAATGCCTAAATTAATTTTACTCTTTGAATTTTGGTTAGTTAATTAGAGAGCAATCGATCTCCTTTTCCTGAGCATGCTAGGTGCAATTGTCATAGGGTCTTTGTAAGACAGCTGACCCTAGGGTGGCCCTAAGTAAAGCCCCTGTCTTTGGCAGAGAGGGGTGGAGCAGGCGTAGAGTTCAGTACTGTGGTCAGATAAGAATAAGACCCAAGCCGAGTACCGTGGCTCACAGCTGTATCCAAGCAACAGGAGGCTGAGGCAGGAGGATCACAAGTTCAAAGCCAACCTCAGCAACATAGCAAGGCCTTAAGCAACTTAGCAAGACCGTGTCTCTAAATAAAACAAAAAAGGGCTGGGGATGTGGCTCAGTGGTTAAGCGCCCCCGAGGGCATCCCTAGTTAAAAAACAAAACAAACAAACAAAMAAAAACTCCTGAAAACCCAGAGTTATTTCTCAATCATTGGCTTAGACTCTGAAGAAATTAAGAGGCCTGGGGACACCTCTTGACTCTGCCTCTTCCTTGGTTCAAATGATCAAAAATCCAAGCCAAAGTGGGTAATTTCAGAAAGAATTTATTGGCCGATGCTGTGGATTGTGCCCCCTCCCTCAACTATGTTCAAGCCCCCTCCACTCCTGAGACGATGATCCTATTAGAGATAGATTCTTAACAGCTGTACTGGAGTTAGGACGAGGTCCTACTGGGTGAGTGCTAATGCACTGACCAGTGTCCTTATAAGAATAAGAAGAGGGGAATTTGGACACTGAGATGCAGAAGGAAGACCATGAGAAGATACACAGGGAGGGAGGATGGCCGTGTGACCACAGCGGCAGAGGTTGGAGTTAATGGCTGCCAGTCAAGGAAAGCCAAAGATCACCAGCAACCTCCAGAAGCTAGAAAGAGACCGGATGGATCCCCACCTAGAGCTACGTTGGGGAATGTGACTCTGCTGACACATTGATTTTGGACTTCTAACATCTAGGCGTATGACAGAATTAATTTATATTGTTTCAAGTCACCCAGTTTATGGTAATTTGTTATGGCKGCCCTAAGAAACTAATAGAGCTAAAACAGCTAGCACATAATTCCATGATGGAGCACGACAGGATCCAGCATTCAAATGGATAGTTTCCTCCATTTTGGGGTCTCCTTCCTGGCTTTAGTCTCAGCCTCCCATCATCTCAAGTTCAAGTCCAGAGGGAAGATGAGACTCTGTCTAGCAGATCCCATAAAACTCCAGGATACTCCTTTCAAAAYCCCTTAGAGGATTCGCCTCTCTTGCAAGAAATCGCTCAGGAGCGTAGTGATCTGACCATCGTGGGCCTGGAGATGGGCATGAGCCTGCCCAGGCTCCATGGGCTACCAGTGGGGGGATGGGACAGCCGCCCAAATAAAACCGAAGGGTGATTTTCCCAGAAGAAGGGGATGTTGGGGAAAATCACTGCCCCATGCAGTGCTCTGAGCTCATTTTCCTCATTTTTAATTGGAATAATAGAAGAACCCACCTCCTGGTGCCAGGATTGTGAGGTCAGATGAAGTCATGCTTGTCCTCGCTTAGCCCGCGCCTGGCAGGTGACGTTGGTCCTGGGCRTGAGCCCTCCGACTCGCACGCTGGTGAACATGGAATGAAAACCTCTTTATTTTGACATTWAACCTTCATCTGGATTGCAAGTTCTCATCGCAAGAGTGGTGGGAATGTTCTGGACTGGAGACCCACCTCTGCCGTGTTTCAGCTCCAGGGCGGGTGTGTGGGGGTCCTGAGCGGGACTCGGGGCTGGGGACGCGCATCCAGCCTGGGCTATTTCCATTCGGCCGTGTTTTCCTTGCTTCAGTCCCGTGTTTTGTTTTGGT